GTAAAGTTTCCCTTCGCTGAATCTACTGACGGCCCCAAAACAAGCAAACCTATGAGCTTCAACGCCCTGATCCGGCCTGTTTGTCCGGTATGAGGCCTCAGAAGGATGTTAGGCGAGTAGGCAGGGATTGAGGGACCTTTGCCACAGTTCTTTTTCGTTGAGAGGGCGGACCAATCCATCCTCAAAATGGGGTCGAGCAAATCTTAAGACCTGAAAATCTTGAACTGTCCTTCCGTTTAGCCTGTGCATCAATCAGGGCGAAACGTCAAGAATTGGAACAGCCCTTCTAAAATCAACTCGCTGGGTGCCATCATCACAGCTACACTGCCGCGGATGGTCGGAGATATAGACGCTTAGAGTGGCAACCGATGCCCTACGCTAGCAATTTCGGGCAGTACAAGTAAATTTTGCCGAGGAGGACAACGGATAGAACAGCACTCGCCAGTCTGATCGGGCCAAGAACGCTAATTAAACTGAAAACCTGCGAAATCCCTTTTGTAGAAGATCACTTCGCCCCCACGTCCTAGGCTTGTACGTGATGCAAAAACCCAGCTTCTCTCATAACCCGCACAGAGACATGTCCATCTCCTGACCTGAGGCCTTAACGACCGCAACCCCCCGAAAGCAATCCTCAGATGCCAAGGAGCTTGTCATCGGTGCAGCTGCCTCCGGTCGGAGTTTAGATGAGGGGGAAAGGGGGCAAGGGGGAAAGGGGGAAAAGGGGGAAAGGGGGAAGGGTCTTCTCGCCTGAGAAGTCCCCAAGCCAGTTTTCTGCAACCCTGCAAGCAACTCTGCAGTGCCCCCGGGCCTGCGGCCGCGCAGCTGCCGCTTGAGCGGCCGCAGTCTCTGTGGCGTAGCGTTTCTCCGCCTGTGTTTTGTTGAGCCTAAACTTCAGGGCTCATCCGGTCCAAAACGTAGCCGTGACGAGACCGACTGCTCCGTACTATCGAAGACTCATCGCAGAAAGTCCCGGAACCGAATCCCCAAAGTGCAGCCAGGAGCGAGCCTGCTCGCCTGGGTCGTCTTGCATGGACACGGGGAACCAACACACAAACTCGAAAGGCAGAGGAGGGCGAAGTGCAATTCGAGGTGTGCAATTTGAGCTTCAAAGGTTCGGACAGCTTTGTAAAACTCAGATATGGGGATGGTAGGACGGTGGGGAGCAAATTGCATCCCATTGGGATGGCACAAAAGCATAGCGCCGCTGGAGTTTGGGCCACCGTGATGCTTGACAGTGCAGCCAGAGCACGATCTCTCTTCCACATGAAATACCTCAGCACTGCCAACAATGCTTCCTGGCTTCCCTGGCTGCGCAGTCCGCAGGGGACTTCTGTTGAACACGATCAGAATCCGCCGACCGGGCTAGCCGGGCGAAGCACACCTTCTGCAACGACCCCTGCAGCCCTGGCCCCAAACCGGCCCTTTGCTGAGCTTTTGTGAGTCTGGCCTGGGCATCCACAACCCTGGATGCTCACCCTGAAGCCCTGACACCCGCAAAGCCTCCAACCCTAAACCGCTAAACCCTAAACCCCAAACCCGAAAGATCCCGAAAGTCTGTTAAGTCGTCGCAGATACAGGAAGCCGATGAGGCAGGTGCACACGACCACGCCAACGACCGCAGCCAACCTCTGCAACAGCTTTCTGCTTTCAGGGAGTGGTTCTTGACATGGCTTGGTAGATGAAGATGTTGATGCTCTATGCTCACGCAGATTCGACACGCAAGAATAGCGGCCAGTCCTGAAAAGGATTATGTTTGCGCACCAGGCTGAGGAGGTATGCAACTTCTGGTGCTAACAAACATCGGGCGCAACAGATCGCGCCATGGCGTACCAATGACCTGGATTCCGCACAAGCCAAACTTGCTTCGTGTCACGATGAAGAATCAACGCTGCAATAACCGCAACATCACAACTCCGAACCCGAATCCGCGGAGTCCACATGGCAGGACACCATCCAAAGTCCGCGTCCTCCTCCTGGGTGCGCGGTGACACAAGGTAGTAGGTCGTAGCTTACGCAGCTACGCAGTGGAGCAAGCTTGCGCCGGAAAAAATAAAACAAAATAAAATAGACAACACACAAACAAAACAGTGTCACCGCAGCCAGTCGTGCCCAGATCTCAGAACTTCAGGCTTTCCTTGAGCATGCGCCACAAGCAGGGGCTTGGAAACTTAACTCATCCGAGTGGCGGGCTCGACTACGGGCTCCGCGGGAAGGACCTGGACTTCCTGGATGAAATCCTGGGCTGATGGTCAACTGGAGAGCTTTTAGGATTTAGGGTTGAGGGTTTAGGGTTCAGGGTTTAGGGTTTAGGGTGTAGGGTTTAGGGTTTAGGGTTTAGGGTCGCAGTGCTGCGCAAGAATCTCAAAGGAAGGCAACACTCAGGGCCAACTATGGAGGGTGCAGGTCTCAGCTATGTCGCCTCTCATCATGGCGGGGGGGGGGGGCTGCAGCGGATGAAAAAAAGCGGCCAAGCGCAAAGCACACCAAGCTCACCCTGACGCCTGCCCGCAACCCTGATAATGATGGCTCAGCTGCGCCCCCCCTTTCGATGGAAAGCAGCATCCTCAGGGCGACAAAGGTTTTCTATTTCTTGCCTACTTTGCTTCTCAAAGATGTGGTGAACGCACTAGGAGGCACAAGCCAAACCAGGATCCTTGCAGATGCAGGTGCCTTGTTCACCGCTCCATCCTAGTGCTTGCACCTTTCTTCGCCCGTGAACTCTCGGCCCTACCCCTAATCTGACCCACCAGCAAACAAAATGTCGGTTCTCGGAAAAGGCTTCGTGGGCCTAGAGTTGAGGACGTAGAACTTTCAACGGAGAAATCCTGACTCTCAAGCCGCAAGCCCAGGTCCCAGAACAGCAAACCCTAGAGATTTGCCAGACTGCCTCGTGAGGTTGCCGATAAGGTAGCTCGAGTTGACCTCGGCTACACCAAAAACGAGGCAGGCACATGGAGTTCCGAGCAGCTAAAGATCCTTGCTAGGCCGACCGGGCCCGTCATCGAAGGTTTGAGGCTGAAACTTGGGGACTAAGGGCTTCTGCAAGGAGCACCGATCCACCTCCAGGCCTGCAACATCAACCCTGCTACCTTCCCAAGTCCGGGGTAAAGAAGCTGCCCACCATCCTGACAAGCTGAGACGCAAGGTCGAGCTTGTCATTGAGCAGGGTGAGGACCTGCGGCTTACTTAAGAAGCCTCTGGTCTCACGACGGGCCTTTGGCTCTCATCAATCTCAAAGCAGTTGAAGCGCCTTTCCGAATTTTCGTTCGTCTTTAAGTGGTACCCTGCATCGACAGATATTGAATACGAGTTCGTGTGAGCAAGAACGTGAGGACCGCGGATTGATGATGACTTGCAAGTTTTGACGCGATTGAGACTTGGCTTGATGGCATTCGGCTGCAACTCAACTCTCTTGCGCAGATAGCCCAGGTAGCACCGTCCAAAAATACCCCCCCCCCCGACTTTTCCCACTGTAACCGTGAACCCATGTGCCGCGCCTCCTCGAGAGATTTGCTGTTCAGGTGGTCAACCAACGCGGTGGCGAACGCCAAGCCTTCCTGACCAGCGCAGGATTGTGTTTAGGGTTTGGGGATCGGGGGTCCTTGAAAGATCTCAGAAGGGCTCGGGGAGCCAGGATCAGTGCCAACAGCAACGTGAAGTGAAATTGTGAGGTGGCGCAAGGTGTTCTGGCTTCCTGCAAACTAGAAAGACTTCGATGCTCCACGCACTTCCTAACCCATGCGGGTTCCTCCGAACTATTTTGCTTGTGAAGCCAGGATGGCAAGGTGTCTCTGATTGAAAGTGACTACTCGGCCAGGCTGGCTCGGGGCACGCGTTAAGGTTGAGGGTCTCAGGGCCTCAGGGGCTAGAGCTAAGGGCTTCCGGGCCGGGCCTGCCTGTGCAAAAACGTAGACTTGCTCTCAGGAACTAGCGGGACATTCCTCGCGACGCCGCCTTCGCCTTCGCCTTGCCCTTCGCCTTCGCCTTCGCCTTCGCGCCAGCCTTGCCAGCAGCGGATTTGAGTGGGTCCGCTGGCGGAGGCCTCTCGAAGAGAGGCGCCCAGCCCGATGCATCCTGGAACTGGAAGGTCTTGTCCAGGAACTTCGCCAAGTGCTGCCGGATCTCGGCCCCAATCCTGCCCCACTCCACGAGGCACAAGGGCCAAGGGCCATTGCGGCACTTCTGCACCTCATGCGGCAGTGTAGCTTCCCCGCCCTCGGCTTCCACAGGACGTAGAAGGTGCCAGGCTGGGCCTCCGTGAGCTTCTGCCAGACGTATGCTTCGCCGTTGCTGTTGGCGAAGTCGGTGGCGCTTGTCCAGGTCTTCAGGGCGTAGCGGTCCAGGCTCTGGCGGCTCACGCAGAGCTCTGGCAGTGGCATGGTCCAGGGGGGCTCCTCGCGGCGCATCCGAGCGTGGTGCTGTTTCCACAGGTGGTCGCGGCAACCAATGACCTGAGCAGCCGGCAAGTCCTTCACCTCGTCCATGTAGCCGATCAGGAGCTCCAGGGCCGAGGGCTTGTACCACTCAGCGTACGGCAAGCTGCTGGTCGGCGTCTGGGCTTGCACGTGAGGGATCTTCTTCTTCAGCGAACCCATCAGCTTGTCGAAGAAGGCCTGGTGTGTATGCTGGATGCACGGTATAGAGAACTCTGTAGGGTGCCGGTCCTCCATCTGTCCGTGAATCCACTGCTCTTTGGTCCATGCGTCTGGGGTGTACACGTCCGAAGATCGTCCGGGTTGATGTGTACACCCGGAAAGGACATGTTCAGCACCTCGTTATAGCGGGATTTAGTCTGGTACATAGCGTTGTTCACCGCAAAGTGGAGGCTGCTCTTGCCCAACTTCAAAGCCTGTCTCGAGGAAAAGAGGTGGCACACTCTCAGCCTCGTACTCGGCTCGTCCCATAGGGCTTCCATGCGCTTCTTGAGCTGGCTGACCAAGAACTGGAAGCTGGGCATGCCACACATCTGCCTCCAGATCTCATGTTGCTAGCGAGCCCTGCTAGGAGCATCTCCTTAAACTGTGGAATCGCGAGATGGCCCCGATGTTGCTAGCGAGCCCTGCTAGGAGCATCTCCCTAAACTGTGGAATCGCGAGATGGCCCTGGAGTCTCCCGATGGCCTTCTCGTACTCCTCTACGGACTTGAACAAGGGCAGCCACTCAGTAGACTTTCTAGGCATGAACTCCCAGAGCTCGGCCGCAGTTAACTCCTGCTTCTCCACGGCTTCGAAGCGCGCCTTGGCCGCCTCGAAAAGGCGCTGGTCCTCCTCCCCGAGCTGATGCGAGACGAAGTTGGTCGAGGAGAAGTGCTTCCACTTGTCTGAGAAGCCGTATAACAGCTCGAACATGTCCATGAATCGGGAGCCCGGCAGTATCGTCGCGCGCCAGATCCCGGCCTTCTCCTCGGCGTCCTCCTCCTCCTTCATGGACACCGCGTCCTGGATGGCCATGATGGCCGGCTTCGCTGGAGCTTCCGGTGCCGGGAGGGCCGGCCGCTCCTGCTGCCGCTCCTGCTGCCAGAGCTCGCGCAGCACTCCAGCCTGAGCCTCTGCGCTCGCCCGCTGGACCTTCTCATCCGTCAGCTGCTGTTGCAGGACCAGCTCCTTGGCTGCGTGCTCCTGTTGCATCTGCCGCCTCTCCTCGGCGAACTTCAGCTGCTCCTCCAGCCGGGCCTCCCTCACCTGACTATCGCTCAGCTCCCGAAGCAGCTGGCGCGGGTCCACCGTGACCGTCTGCATCAAAGGGCCTGGCAGTGGCATCGCTAAGGACTTGCTCTTCACAGCTGTCTGCTGCTTCGAGTGCACGCTGCCTTCGGGCGACTCGGCAACCAAGGAGCTCCGGCTGGACGGAGGCGGCGAAGGCGAAGGGCCTCCAGTCATCCGGGCCGGGGCACTCACAGCGGCGAGAGTCTCGGACCCATCTGCACTGCTCTCCTGAGAGTCTCCAGGAGGCGGGCCGCCAAGGACCTCCACCGAGAAGCCGCCCCTGCTCCCTCGGCTGTCTGCCACCCACCGCACGCCGTGGGCCTCCAGTCGTCTCCGCTTGTCCTCCTGAGTCTCCGGGCCCGCATCCTCTATCGGCCAGCACCTACTCTCCTCCATGGCCTGCCGCATGGCAGGCGAGGCCCTCTAGTTACAAGCTCTGACTTGAGCCGCGCCTATAAGCAGGAGTCGTCACGGTCAAGATAAATCACCAGGATGGAAGTCTCCCAGGACTCCTAGTCGAGCTTTGTAGGACCCATGCCAAGAAGCTTCCTACACCCAGGCTTGAAATCGCAAGCGACACTCCTACTTGCGAGGGTGGCGCGATCGCGGCAGAAACTCCTAGGCCCCTAGGGCCATCGCCAAAGACACGAGCCTCTGGGGTGGAGAGGAGGCGCTCGGCGTTGTAGTACGCCATCACCAGATCCTCCTGCGCGCGTGAGGCACTGCCGCCATTCTGAAAGCTTTGGAACCTGGATAGCTGATCCGAGCATTTATGGGAAGCTTTTTGCTGACGTGCCTGCAAAAGCAATCTAAGCACCCTAAAGGGGGCAAGCCCAAGGGTCCTGCGTTTCATTGCTGAACACGATCGCCAGGTTGATGTCCTCGGATATGGATTGGGTGCACAAGAACTTCACAAGTTATGTAAGCCCTAAGCCCTAAGCCCTAAGCCCTAAGCCCTCAGCCCTGAACCCTAAACCCTAAACTCTAAACCCTACAAACCCTAAACCCTGAACCCTACAAACCCTAACTCCGAAAGCTTCGGTTCAGCAACTCCCGGCACGTCTGAAGCAAGATTGCCCAGGTGCTATGCCGGGCGCCGACACATTCAGGATCTCCGCCAGTCCAAGAGCCAAGCCTAAGCTTTAGGTTCATGTTTAGGGTTGAGGGTTTAGGGTTTAGGGTTTAGGGTTTAGGGCTTGGGGCTTAGGGCTTAGGGCTTAGGGCTTAGGGCTTAGGGCTTAGGGCTTAGGGCTTAGGGCTTAGGGCTTAGGGCTTAGGGCGTAGGGCTTAGGGCTTAGGGCTTAGGGCTTAGGGCTTAGGGCTTAGGGGTGTATATCAAACAGAAACACGTATCCCCTGAACCCCGGTCCGGAGGTGCTCCAAGATCGAACGGCGGGCTTCTGTCCTACTTCACGTCATTAACACACCTCAACCCTGTGTGATAACGGACATATAACATATGTGCACGTTCTTGACTAGACGAAGCACTTTCTGCCTTGGGAAACCCAATACTATGGTCTTTGCAAGGCAAATTGGGTGTTCCTTGAAAAGTGGTGCTTTCATGTCATACTGATTCAGTTCGTATTTAATAACCCTTAACTAGCAATGTTTGATCCGTAGTTGCCTGCTTATCTAGAAAAAACTCGCCCAGACAAAGCACTGTTTGCCGAGAAAACACCGATTTGCCGGGTTCAACAGTCCAAACTCCGAAAGGGATTCTTGGATTTGCCAGCTTTCCTTTTTAAAGGCAACTTCGGCGTTTCTCGGCTTTTCTATGGCAATGGGTGCTTTTCGAGGCATCGTATCGTATATACTTCTAAGGGCATAAGGCACCACCCTTGGATTTGACTTGTCTAAAGTGCATCCGGCCTCAGGGCTTCTACAACACTCGGCCTAAACCGAAGGGTCTAGGCCCGAGGGCTTCGGGGTATGAACCCAAACCCCCCTACACCTGCTGCTGAGGCAGGCAAGCTGTGAAGGAGGTCACGGAAAACGCTGGTCGAAAAGAATCCCGTGGTCCAAGCCCTATGCATCCCTATCCCTGGCGCGGGTGGAAGGTTTCGGGCTTGTCCTAATCCAGTAGCTCACACTCCTTGCCAAGGCATTTATTGCTCCAAGAGGCGAGTGCTAATTAATGCCAATATTTGTCTGCCCTAAATCCTAAGCCGTGCCTGCTACCCACTCTTCCTCAAGTTCTCACATAGCTCAATAGGGTTTCGGGTGGCAGGAACGAACGGTCCCTTTTTGTTTTCAGGCTGCACTTTATATGACCATCAGAGCCTGTAAGGTGGTTGTCACACTAACTGTCCGTCATTGCCCGGTGCCCGGCCTCTGGGATAACAAAACCCAGACGATCAGACATGAAATCAAGTCTTCCTGATATGGATCAGGTCGATGTTTGTGGTGTTACAAGGTCGCCATTTTGGATGGTTCATCTTAGCTGGCGACGTTGTAACCTGTGCAACCCTCAACCCTCAACTACAAGCCAGGACACCTTCAGGAACCGCCGACTCGTTTACGAAGCCAGAGTTCCTGTGCTTTGGGATTCTGATCGTCCCAATCACCCTTTCTGGGGTTTGGGGTTTAGGGTTCGGGGTTGGGGCCTCTATTCTCGCATCTTCCTGAAGGTTTAGGTCCTGAAGCACAGGCTTTTCAGGTTTGGGTTGAGGAGAAGAAAGCTTGGGATTTACAGGGTTCGACTCCCCTTCCCCCCCCGAGGCCTCGATTGCGAAGCATTCGGAAACAAAGACGACAAAAGAGTGTCTTCCCAAGTACCAAGTAGTCGCCCCGAAGCCTAGGCCCAAGGGAGGGCCCTGAAGTCCCGAAGTCTCGGCCCCCGGCAGCTCTGCACGTCCCTCTTGCAGGCGGCGGCCGGCAAGCCTCCTTGGAGCACAACATTGTTGAAGTTTCGCTTCTGTTTTATTTATTTATATTTTTCTTTTTTTTTTTTTGGGGGGGGGGGGGGGGGGGGGGGGGGGGGGGAGCTTTTGAGGTTAAGGCCTGAATAACACCCCCGTCCCCCAATTCGGAGAAAAAGAAGTTCAGGTGATTCAGGGGTCTGCGAGCTAGACGTCTCCATGAAGGATGATGTTAAGGTCCGCCGTCAGGTTGGAGAGTTCGAGGCCTGAGGCTAAGGAATCTAAGAGTTCTCTAGGGTCTCTCCCTGCAACCCTCATCAGAAGTTTCCTTAACCCCATGTTCCCACAGGCCCTTTAGGGCCCTGAACCCGCCGAGCTGCGGAGTGACGTCAAGTGAGCCGCTGATGTAAACGGTGCCGTTCCAGAAGGTCGTGGACGTACTAGTCATGGTGGTGGCCTCTCGGGCTTTTGGGGACTCTCCTTTCCAGGCCTTCGAGAAGCTACAGGCCCTCAAAAACCCCTCTGGCCCACCGCCCCGCCACAACCAGAACAACGAAGCCCCTCCCTAAACGGCCCTGAACCCTAAACCCTAAACCCTAAACCCGAAACCCGAAACCCGAAACCCGAAACCCGAAACCCTCAACCCTAACCCTAAACCTGGCTGCCGATCTGAGGCTGATGCCGTGGTCGTGACAGTCAGTGTGGTCGTGGTGGCCGTGCTGGTGATCTGGCAGGATCAGCGACTCAAAGTTTAACGCCCGCACCACTGTCTTCCGCGGTCATCCACTGCTCAAGGCATGTTGCACACTGCACCCTCTGAAACCCCCTGTCGCCAAGGGCAACAGAGGGAATCCCCTTAGGCCTCCAAGCACTCCGGGTACGTTCCATTCAACCTTCGCAGAGTTCTGATCACACCGTTTCGGATTTGGGGTTTCGAGTCGAAAAAGGCCCAGAACCATTTGCCTGCGCAGCATCCAGGAAAATGAAGATATAAAACAAAAAAACTCAAGCCCAGACTCTCAAAGGGACTGATCGAAGGATCTTATTGGATCCTACATCCCTGGCCAGATTCAACACAACAACAACCTCGAAGGGTAGGCTTGGGGGTTAGGATTTCGGGACATTGGGGGTTTAGGGTTTTAGGGCTGTGGGGTTTAGGGTCCCAAAAGAGCCAAAACTGCTTACCCCCCTTCCCCCACCCCAAAGCCGCAGAAAGGAAATACATTCGGCCCCTAATCAGCACGGTCAAGCAGCACTCCGTCCGGCGCGCAGGTCCACATGCCTTTGTCCCAACAGGTGGCCGAACTGCGCTGGTTCCATCTTTCATGTCAGCTACTTTTTTCCTACTCCGGAAAGTTTCCGATGCTCACCCACCTTAGTCTGATCACTCAAAGGACCGGTTCTCTTTGCATGAAAGCATGGGGTCCAAACCCTGCGGGCTTTCTGGCGGGGTCGCTGGGGTCCCTCAGGCTCAGCAGAGATTTATCATAAACCCTTCTCAGCAACAAGAGGGGAGGCGGGAAAAAAGTCCGAAGACGGCTTTGTGCCGTTGCGCCGTTGCAGCGCGAAACCGGGTGCAGAACCCTGAGCCCCAAATCCTAACAGGCCCTAAATCATCCTAACACCCTAAACCCCAAATGGCCCTGAACTCTAAACCCTCGGAAGGAGCGGAGCACAAAGCAACAGAGCGTAAGGAGCAACATGGCGGAGCAGTTTAGCAGACGCCGTTTCACCCACAATGAAAAAGAACCAGAGCACATAACCAACAGCTAGTACCAGGCGCTGGACGGCGGGGATGAGAAGACAGTGCAGCAGGCGGGCGCTGGCGTGCTTGCAGTCATGAAGGCTGGTGATCCGTCACCACATCAACGCGTTAACCTGAAACATGCACCCGCAATCCCCCCTTCAGGAGGAGACTGCAGACGAAGCACTGGACCCTCCTTCCCAACCGGCTGCACAGGTGACGCTGCAGGTACCATCCGTCCTAGGCTTGAGAACATGGGCAGCACATCTGCAGAGTACGAGTATCTGGTGGTCGACACAAGCTCTGGCAGGATGGGTGGGCTCTAAAGACGAACTCGGTACAGGCCCAGTACCACCCCCCTCCTGTCCCCTCCTGTCGGAATGTCGCCTCGGCCTCCGGCTGCTATCTTCTCTACCCTCTCCCACAACTCGACATAAGGTCGGAACCAGAAAGAGCTGCAAGCTTGCCTAGCTGATGCTTCAGGGTATCGGGCTCCAAGCGTGGGCAAAACAAGGACCTTTGTAGCCCAAGCGGCACTACTCCGCTGCAGTCGTGAGCATACTCCACGCCGAAGGGCAGGTTGTACAAGCAAGGCAGGGCTGTGCACACCTGCGGTCTTACACTCCCGTTCGAACCACGATGTGACACAAGGTGTTTCACATGTTCCCCTGCGTTGGAAACAAGAAAGAGACCGTTCCCAAGCAGAAGCCGACAACCTGGAGTTGCAGTGGGGTTTGTTTGAGTTTCAGCATGCCCACCAGAAGGCCTTCACCCTTTCATAGCCATTGCTCTGTGAGGGCCGGGGG